TAATCTTAAGAGGCAAGAGCCAACAAATAGCAGACAATGAGCAAGTACCTGATGAAAGACACAGGATATACCCAGATACATCAAGAAGAGAACAGCATTCTTTAAAAACAGACTACTCTGTTGAGTTCTTCTTAGCCAGCTCATCCAAAATACGCAATTAGGCCTATAAAAAAAATCCTCCCATAAGAATCTAAAACTATTTTACCCCATTTTTAACTCTGGAATTGTGCGTTCATTTTTCCTCTGCATTTGCACACATAATTCCACTGAACTGTACTCAATATTAACAACTAGAAGTGGTGCTAAAAATACAAAGTGAATGCTATCGTAATTTTAAAGTCAAACACCTATGACGTATCTAAGTATAAACCAAAGCGTTTTGGCATCTCGATTCTACCATACTGTGCTCTCGTGCTTCTGCAGTCAACAGCACTGACACATACTAGGTTTTTCCTGCGTTAGTGTTAAATGCCATAAGTGAAATACTTCGCACTAGAATGTCTTCATTCATAACTGTAATCATCAAACCTACTGCATTTTTTTTTCTTGAAAGAAGACGTATCTTCTACGCATGTTCTAGTAACAGCAAAATTCAAACATTTTCATTATACTTACTCTGCAGAGGCTGGCAAGATACTTATGGGAGAGATATGAGCACTGCAATAAAAAAGAAATAAGTTAATGTAATGCAAAAAACTTATCACACTAAATAAAAGTCTTGAAGTCAACAGAAAGCAACTTAGAAAATACTTAAAGACTGCATGTAGTGCGGCTAATAAAAGTAGAATACGTATGTTTTCTATGTACATACTGATTTGCAGCCCCTTTATTATTTAGATGAAGAAATCTTAAAGAATAAGACAGAAAGTTGTGGAAGTAGCAATGCAGATTTCTGTCTCTCAAGAGCCAATACTCAGTATATTACGCAGCTATAAGCTCTCAGATGTACGGTCTTTCCCATGGGAAATACTAATCACTTAGTCTCCAAAGATTTCCTGACACCTTGCTTAAGAATGTAGATTTTAACCTTGCTGCCTAAAGCAAATTCCAAATTACTCTGCCTTCCTCCACAGCTGCAATTCATAGAGATTCTTCCCTGCCTGTCAGACTGTTGCATAATTTTATTCTGCAGCATTCAACAGATCTGCAGCGCTCTCCAAGGACAGCTACGTTTCGAGTGCAAGGCAGGTACCTTCCACAGGTTTTGAGACACTAGCTAGCACAAGCCACTTCAGCCCAAACTCCTAGGTGGGGTGGAAGGGTGGAAATCAGCGTAACTTACTTGAGCTTACTTGTATTAGTTAACTTACATGTATGTGGTCCCTCTGCAATTTTCTAGTAATATGATCAAAATTCTCTCATTATAACCAGAATACTGAAATTTTAGACAAAAGCGGCAGTAAATATGCTAAGAATGAAATAAAAGAAGAAAACTCTACTGTAAACAGCAATGAGTTCCAACTTACATATCTTATTCAGAAAAAAAATAAATACTAACTTTATTTCAGCTAGGAGGTGGGGATGGAGGTAAACAAATGCTTTTTCTTCCTATTATATATAACTAAGCTCAAAAAGCTGAAAAACACAGTTTTAGTCTACTTTTTCTTTTTAAACTATGCAGTAACACTGTTGGTAGCCAAAGCTGATTTTAAATATTATTTTCATGAATGCATAAAGTAAACTCTGAAATACAAGGGAGCTTGCCACTCCACTGGAGAACTGAACAGGTACTACCTCTGCAAGATAGTTTTGACTGACATTAGCCTTGCTTGCGCTAAAAAATGTAGACAAGTCTCTGCTTACCCAAGAAGAGTTTTAATAGAGGAAGGAATATCTTGGTTAGACCTTATCAAGTTTACTAGCAGTTCCACCACCAGAGAGGTAAGATAATTAGACTACCTCAAGCAGACTTTCTATTTTTTCTTCCTCTAAGTAGATGAAACACAAGCAATAAAGGACTTTCAATTAAACACTGGCTGAAAGGGAAAGTGGTTAAAATATTTATTTGAAAATAATTATGCCCTTTTGCCTTAGGCAACTTGTACTGGGCCAACAGCAGAGTACACTGTGTTTAAACACCACCATGTAGCAACTGCACAAGCAGGTGCTCACAAAAGTTTTTAATTTCTTTTCTTTCTTTCTTGGTTTGTTTTTTGGGGTTTTTATTTGTTTTTTTAATGGAAACTTGATTTTGAATCAAGCTTTTTTATGATTTATGTGTTTGTTTGCCTAGGTGAAAAACCGAAGCAGATCTATTTCAAATGCTTTGACAGAACAGGCAGCTCTAAACTACTACTTCAAAATAGACATTGCCACATAGCTTTGGTAAATTAAAGCACCCAATGTAGAAGCCAGATCCTGTAGCCACTAATTTCAAAGCTGCTGGATCAAACAACTGAGAGTGAACACACTGGCATTTTGTTTTTTTCTTTCAAACAAAGAAATGGTAAAAAAAAGTTTACAACTTAAGATATTTACATTTCATTGATATTTCTGTGCACAAAAGCTCAGCATAGCCCTACTACTTCTACAAAGTAAGCTTTCTGATAAAAAAAAATTTGTTTTGGCAATACTTGAAATAAAAAAAAATGAAGACAGGAAGCTGTGAGTAAGTTCAGCTTCATGAACAAGATAAAAGAGAGGAGGAGAAGGAGCAAGAATCTCAGCGAAAAAAAACAGTAAGATTTCAAAACACAAAAAATGTAGCTTTAAGTATCCGATCTCAGTATTTTCAGTAAGTTCTACAAAAGCTGCATTATAAAAAGGTATGCTTATGTTCTAAAAGTACTAATACTAATTGTATACATTGAAATCAATTTACTATTAAAAACACAGTCACTCCTAGGACAAATTGGGGGCCGGGGGGGCGATCGGAGCACAGAACACTGCAACACTCTAGTTGTAAAAGAGAGCAAAAAAAATTCAGTCAAGGGCACAAGTACAAATACTATTTATAGGAAACTGTGATGGCCTGGAATCCTTTTATTCTACCACTTGAGACAATGAGGAACTGTGTCAAGAGTGGGGAGAATCAAACTCAGCTCCAAAGAATCCAAAAGATTTCTGACATGGTTCACAACAAAATTTTCCATCTTACTGTGTGACCTTCAGCCCCCAGCGCAGGATCGTGCACCCGTGCTTTCTTTAAAGACCTTTAGATGCATTAGAGGTACTCAGCAAAAGATGTCCATAACTCAGCAGTATTGCAAAGCCTGAAGAATCCTCTTACTACGTAAAGAATATCTTACGTCTTCAACTAATCACTTTAGCAATTAAGCACTTTTTGAAAGAAATGTGTCAATCGCTCTTAGCTGAAAATACATTACAACTTCCAAACCAGCGTACCACAGTCCAAGGATACTTTTTAAAAGCTGTAATTTATACTGCTACACAGAGCCTTCATGCAGCATGACACAGCAAGACCCAGAAAGGTAAACATCTTTGTTCCATAATGCCAACCCAGTCCCAAGAATCCCTTTTGCACTGTCTCCCTACCCATAAAAAGTCCCAGTAAACACATACCTTGAGATAGAAAAATGCATTGACTAGAGACAAAACACCTCAAAGTTTTTCTTGGTAACTTACTGACTGTACACAGATTCTTATTTCCCATTTAAAAAAAAAAATCAGTTGTGACATCATTTCATTTCACAATATCTCCAAAACACATTTAATCTCACATAATTTTAAAGTTAAAAAAAAGTCTTATTTGCAATCATATCAAAGCAACATTTTCCTTTCATATATTTACCTGTGTAGCAGAACTTTACAGGCCATTCTGATTATTTTTGCTATCCCAAATGAGCACTTCATGTAAAAATGCTTCATTTGAAAAACAGCAAAGCGTGATGTTGGCTGCTGGTTATGCATGCTGCTTGCTGGGATTCAATGGCTGCTTGTCAGACAGCACTTCTGGAGTGCTGCACTAAACCCTGCAGTCTAAATAGAAATAGACTGCAACATGAGGTCACTCCTGACAATAAGCTGCCCAATCAACACTTGAAAGCTTTCCTAACATGTTGTTCACAGATTTTCTAGGATGGCAGTAGGGAGAAGTATCTGGATGTTAAAAGAGAGCATTAAACTAAAACAATAATATCTTTTCCAGCAATTCAGGCAGTTGTATTTGGTTAGCCTTGCTATACATGCATTTTGTCTCACTTTGTTGTTGTTAATATTATTGCCTCCCTCTCTCTCACTGATCAGAGCTAATTAAAACACAAAAGGGTTAACAAAACCATCACACAAGCAGTGAGGAGCTCGCCCTTATCACTGCATTTAATATAGACAAAGCAAACTGTTTACAGAACTTACTACTTGTCATATCTCATATTTTTACACATAGAATTTTGAAAAGCCCGAAGAACACACCAAGAGTTTTTATATTAGGCTTTTGACTGACAATATTTGAGATGAACTGCAAAAAGTAAAGCAAATACTGCTTGGCAAAGCACAGTGATGAAAAATTTGGAGTAATGACAGAGGAGGATTCTAAAGTGATTATTTCAACAGCACGTCTTAGAAGTCAGCTGCAATGCTGAGTCAGTAATCCTTTTCTCTGAAAGTCAAGACAGCAAAACCGAGCGAGCCATGGCGAAAAGGCTTCTGACAACAGAGAATATGGTGTTTCCTTTACATACACAATGTCAACTTGTGCGCAACAAATGCTCCCTGATTGGGTAACGGGCTTAAAGATCACTCAACAGGTTTATTTTAAATACCATTTTCAAGCAGTCACTAAATCAAACTGCATTAATGATTATCCACATTCTCACCAGATCTCTAACTCAAATTTTAACACCATGCAGTGCATTAAGGTCGTATGTTTCAGAAAGAACAAACAGAACAAGTAAAGAAAAAAGATAGCAAGCAAAATATAAGCAAGTGACAGTCCAAATAACTTCCAAATAGAAGGAAGGTCATATACCCCATCGTATGAATCAAAATAACCAGTCTTTAACCTCAGCATTAATTAATGCAACCTCAGCATTCTTCTCCTTCCCTCCACAGAGAGACCAAAATATACAGATATTTGGTTCCCAAAATCTGACAACAGCAAAGAGGCAACAAAATTCCAGGTTAAGGAGCTGCAAGAATTGTGTTTAAGATCTACTTCTCCTCCTCTTCCCTTTATAAGCTGCTGCAGGCCCTATGTCAAGACAAACATCCCAATAAACCTGCATTAACATTTGCTTTTCTAATTGCTTTTTTAATATCAAGAAACTAAAACAAAAAAAAGCCATTAAATGAATACTATGAAAGACTTTAAGTTTGGAAAATATTTACAGTATTTATAGTGGTTAAAAGCTTAATAAAGCATACTTTCCCATTCTAATGTTTTTTTTTTTTAAATGTTTCCTGCAGTTCTGGTTTTACAGACAAAATTCTCTTTCTTCTTCTTCTACAGGATTCCTCCCTATCCTTCCCCACAAATTATGTAAAATGCCAACCATAATTAATGCTTATTAATTTTTAATTAGCTCTAAACATCAAGTAAAAATGTTTTCCTCTTCAGGCTATCAAATTTAAACTCTCAAACATGTTGAGTTTGCCACTACTGCTGCGCTTACACATTCCACAGCAACTAAGTACTTGTGAATAGTTAAATTGCTTTAAAACTTTAATTGGAAGAAAAAGCACTTTTGTAGAAATTCCAATTGGAGCAACTTTTTTTTTTATTTTAACTCAAACTAAAACTAAACAGCTCTATTGCTGACAAGGATAATTAACTATTAAATATAATTTAAATTATGAAACAGAATTATATTTCTCTTGTTATATTTTACAAATTCTTGCAATGAAGTAGAAGGAAGCGTGCAGCCAAGCAGCTGAACACATTTCAACCTGAAATCCACATTCTTGAGACTACTCAGTCTTAGGCAGTAAACTTACTTGTGATTTTCCCTGCATTATTTCTTTTTTTAGTCACGCTTTTATTACAGATCCTTCCTCATCCCTCCCTGCAAGTTCTTACATGCCCATACCTAACCCATGCTGTACAGCTATGTAAACTGTAATACAAGCAAAGCAGCCTTAAAAATTAAAACTTGTGTAAGTAAAACAAATCCGTGTATTACAAGCAAGTACACATAAGCTCTCAAATGGAAGTACCATTTTAAGTTAACGCATCTCCTTTACGAAGGCTGGTCTTAATTAAAAGCTGACTCCCACTCCAATACTCCTGCCTGTATTACACTTTGCAACTTCCAAACTTGCTCACAGCTCTCTACCAGCAACGCCTATCCAAACAGCATCCTGGCTTGTGTCAGGAGCAGCGTGGCCAGCAGGAGCAGGGAGGTGATTGTCCCCCTGTACTCGGCGCTGGTGAGGCCGCACCTGGAATACTGTGTCCAGTTTTGGGCCCCTCACTACAAGAAAGACATTGAGGTGCTGGAGCATGTTCAGAGAAGGGCAACAAAGCTGGTGAAGGGTGTGGAGCACAGGGCTGATGGGGAGCAGCTGAGGGAGCTGGGGTTGTTTAGCTTAGAGGAGAGGAGGCTGAGGGGAGACCTTATTGCTCTCTACAACTACCTGAAAGGAGGGTGTAGTGAGGTGGGTGTTGGTCTCTTCTCCCAAGTAGGTAGCGATAGGACAAGAAGAAATGGGCTCAAGCTGTACCAGGGGATGTTTAGATTGGATATGAGGAAAAATTTCTTCACAGAAAGGGTGGTCAAGAATTGGAACAGGCTGCCCAGAGAGGTGGTGGAGTCACCATCCCTGGAAGCGTTCAAAAAACGGGTAGATGTGGCACTTCAGAACATGATTTAGTCTAGTCTACTCTTGATTGGTTTAGTGTGGACTTGGTAATGTTAGGTTAATGGAGTAGATGATCTTAAAGGTCTTTTCCAACCTAAACGATTCTATGATTCTATGAAACAGATCCCTCCACAGAGTCTGGCTCTTAGGCAGGTACCACAGGTCCCTCCAGCTTCAGCAGCCATTATACCTGTTTGGACAATGCGAGACCTTGGCTTTCTATACATTTTTCTGATAACTTTTTTCTAAAAGCCACTTAACAAATTAAACCTCAGCTTGCACACAGGTGCCATATCCTACATTGACATTAACAAAGAAACACCAGCCTCTGAGATAAATTTAGTTGGCAGAGTTTAAATTAACTGAAGAAGGATCTTCAGGTGTTTTACAAATATATTAGCAAGTCAACTTTCACAAAACAGGGTATCCAGAGCCTTCATTTCAACACAAATTAAGGAGACTTTCTGGACCCTCAAACCAAGTTTTTTTGCAAGCAACCCATTCTACGAAGTCTCACATATAAACTTACAAAATGCCATCTTTGGAGTTCTCAAAGTTTCCTCCACATTGCTCCTACTAAAGGCCTTTCTGGAACATCTAAATTCCAGCCTAAAAATCATTCGTGGTCACACTTATCCCACTTGCTCTCCACTATCCTTTTGGTCATACATAGTTCCCTCTTCATCCCTGGTGTTTTCTCTTTCTAGCATATTTTCAGGAAGTAATCACAGAGTCTTCATTACAATTGTTTATGAAATATATTCCACTGTACTCTAGTGAAACAAGAAAGTACTTTCCTCATTTAACACCTGAGCGTAGTGGGCATAAAAAACACCTGGACAAATTCCAACAGGTTTAGAAATTAATCAGGGTCATGTAAGGACACATCTCTGCTCACTAGCACATGACAAGTAGTCCTCGGATTTCCCACTGAAAGAGTGGTGGAAAGATGGCACAGAATGGGTTTGTAACTACCAATATTCAGATCCTTTTTATACTTCTGCTACAAAATTCACTGTTTAAATATCACTTTACAGTTTCACCAAACTATGCCCTTTTTCCCTTTCTCTGCATAAATCACCATAGTTAATCCAATCTGAGTTCTACAGGCATTCCTCTTCCGAATTTGGGAACCGTTATTTTATCCCATATTTTACTACTACAAGACCTGCACCTGCTTCTAAAGCTTCAGTTTGTAGACACCACCACTTATCTCAAAAGCCTGACAGCTTCTCTCTCTCAGACAGAACAGTCTATACTCCAAACTTTAAATCCAAACTCCAAGGCAGAAAAAAGTTACCTTGTTGATGCTGCAATGCTCCTGGAATCCGAGAGACTCCCGGTCACATCTAGATGCACCACAGCTGGCCTTTCAACAGGTTTCTCTGTGCCATCTTCTGGAAGTTCTTCAGACTGCTCAAGCTTTACATCTTCCTCCTCTTCCAAGAGATCATTTATCTAATAAAAAGATTTATTCGCAGTTAATGGCTTGAAGTTCTTTTAAGAGGTCTGAGGAATTAAAAGAGCATGAGAGGTATAAAAACAACATACTTGTAATTTTTCAATTTTAGAAAAACTGGCACGTTATACATGATTTTATGTAAAACCATACATTCTACATCATAAAAAACCCTACATAACCCTTTTGAAACATCCGACAAAAACTGCAAAGAAAAGCACCTTTGATGCAGTAAATGAACACAAACAGAATCAAGGAACAACAAAATCCCAGCCACACTGAAGTCTCGAGGCACAGAACCTTTCTTCCTCTACATATAAAGCAGGTATGGATAATTCTCCTCTATTCCATAGGTAGCCTTATCCATATGTGAGAAGCATTTCCAAACCCTTCTATGGAAGGCAATGTAGAAGCCTAAGAATCCAAACTTTAACGTACTGAATGAATACTGATAACAGCAAATGTAACAGCAAGAGCATCGAGAACTTTCTGTGAAGCCCCTTGTCTATTTTTGTTTCTTTGTTTCCAAACACAAATGTCTTTACTGAAGCTGTAAAATATAGCCAATTTAAAAACTAAAACAATATAGCCAACTGACAACTGAATACAGCCACCTTCATTTTTTAAAAAGCAACTATGTCTAAAACATAAAAAGGTTTCGAAAACACAACAAAGTTGTGATTCGCAAAACCACTCTGTGATTGATTACTGATCTCCCAAACTTGCAAACCCAAGATTTAAAGTATCAGCAGTAGCCTCAGGAAAATATGCTTTGTAATAGCTGCCACATGAACATAAAACAAAACCGCGGGATTAAGAAAAATTGAAACTTTCGAAGTTTAAGACTACAGAGAAGGCAGAGAAGAGGTATGCATTTAAGAGGGCTGCAATATGTTATGTGGCACTACATTCAGGGCAAGAGATGTATTTATCCCTGACCCTCCTCTGTAATGGCAGGCAGATGTGCCAGCGAAGCAAGGGCAAGCCCCCCCGCGCTTGGTCGGCTGCCAGTGGGGCTGTGCCCAGCGTGGACGGGCCCTTCTGCACCCGGGGGAGCGGAGCCAGATGAAGTGCGCGGTTGACATCTGGTGGAGACACCGCGAAATTAAAGGGACACCCCGCCAGGCCTCAAACTTAGGGAAAAAACAAAACCAAAACCACACACCACACAGACTGCTATGCTTGGGAAACCCTTTCACTAAAACATATAATGACCCACAGACAAGTCAGTAATTTCAAAGCATGGCAGCACAGAGACCAACTAACTATAAAGAGCAGTCACCCCAACCTCCGGTGACAGCCCTCGGCCTCCGGTTGCAGAAGTTACAGTTTTCTGCTTCCTGCGTGCAGCAGGGCTGTGTCACTTCTCAGCGCTAGACATATTCCTGCAAAGAGCTAAAAAGACAGCAAACGCTGCAAAGCTGCAGCACTTTGCTAGAAGAGCTAGCAGAGCAGAAGCTGCTCAATCCAGAACTCGCTGCCCACGCTTGGCAGACCAGACCAATGGGTGAGGTGTCTACTGCAGTGAAGAGGAAGCAACCAGCTGCCCCAGTACTTGCCTTACCTGTCTTGCTAGAGGAGGGGTTCAGGGGATAGTTAGGCTTTAAAAATTCAGTATTTCTTGTTACCTTCCTTAGCAACCGCTGGTTATTTACCCTTTTTCCTCTTTAAAGGAAATGCATCATTTCTTAAGCCAACTGAATATGAGAAAATTCAGTTTATAGCTTTCCATATTTCTGAGGAAGGGTTTGAGCCAAGAGTTTCTTAACAATTCATGAACCTGGCTTTGATGATACAAAAAGTACTTCTGTGCATTATCACTTATATACCACGACTTGTTAGAATTAAAAGTATTTGCCAACAGAAGAAGATTGTATCACAATACCACATTTTAATTTCCCTAACAACTCTCCATCTCTATTTATCCCAACATGACATGGTATTAAAATACCACTTCACAAAGTTAACTTTGTTGTGAGGAAAGGCAGAAGACTGATAATCAGTCACGTGGGCCAGCAAATCTGCCAATCCTGGCAGTTGAATAATACGACACAGAGTGTTTCTATTCTACTCAGCTTTGTTTCTCTAATTTCAACACTTTTCCCCACTAATGTCAGACGATATTTTGAAGTCTCAGAATCAGAAACACCATTCAAAAATTTTGGCCTAGGAAAACACCACTGATAACATCATCAAGTGGAGTGCGAGACCCTGCATGTTTCTGTAAGACACACCTAGAAATATTATTGACCAAGACCAACAACAGTGTGGTTCTGCATTCGCTTCAAAAACAGTTCTCCATTCCTAAAAAGGTAATTAAAAAGCTATACTGTGTATATGGCATAACACCACCTGTGTTGGGCAGGATACCATTGTTGGTTTAGTGACTATGTATTTTTCTACATAGCATAGCTATACTTACTACAAAGCAACAATTTCATAAGCATACCTATGTTAAGAAAATGCATTTAAGGAAATACCAGGTTTTGTAAGTTTGCCAGAAACTACGAAAATGCATACTAAAGAAAATTGTATTTCAACATATCTTTCATAAACATAAACATGTATAACAGATACTCAAGTGATAACATATTGCCATTTAAAATATTCTTACCTGCTCAGTTATTGAGCTTAAATCATTAGTAGATGAAAAATCTTCCTCTTCATTTTCAAAGAATTCATAGTAGTTCTCCAGAAGTCCCGCCATTATTCTGCTAACTATTTCTTGTTCTTTCAGATCCTCCACATCTGTGTAAATGCTAAAAGATTTCAACACTGTTTTAGTTTAAAAATCTAAATCCAGCTGTTTCCCCAAAGAACGCCTGTGAATGACTTCTATGAGTAAGGGCTACACTTCACACCATTATCCTTGATCCATTCTGAACACACAGAACTTTAAGCGTGCCTTCACACTACTGCATTATAAAGCTTTATACTAGTTTATATTTAAAAGTGATGAAGTAACAACTATTTAGTCAATTAACTTCTCATGAAGAATATTTAAAATTCAAGTACTTTCCTGTTGAGAGGAAACCCCAGTATACCTTTGTACTTTAACAGCTTTCTCCCAGCACTGCCTTCTTGCTACAAATAGTAATCTACACACTATCTCTAAAATCTCAGTATAATTACAGCAATGCAACAATCAAATCAGTGGTTTCTAATGCCATAGCTCATAGACAAGCTGTTGTTCAAATCCCAGCAAAAATGGTAAGACAGAACTGGGGTGAGGGAGTTGGGGGGGAAACAGAAAGAAAATTATTGCCCAAAATATATTGTGTACTTGCTACTGTTACTCATGGACTAGGAGAGACTTTAGACTACGGATGTACACTGTCAAATTCACATAAAAACACTACATGAACTTTTATAACTAACTTACTGAAAAACATCCGGGCCAAAGACTGCAGCTAAAGAACTTGCCGACCAAATTTCTTCATGATGTGATGCTACGTTAGCTAAAAATTTACACAGAAACTTTAACAAACTGTAATTAACAGGTGGAAGCTGCTGCAAGAGGAACCTCAACTTTCTTCCAAACTCATCTTCATTATTATAATCTGAAAAATGTAATAAAAGCATTTTAATCACAGAAATAAAATAACTGCTTTTTCACATTTGATATTGATCAACTTTTTGACTCTGACAACAATTACTTACTTCTGAAGTACAACTAATTTGGTCAGACCGCAGCCTTAAAATGTCAGAATTTTACTTACATTTGCTCAGTCTGAGATTCTCATACTAAATTTCTCCATGGAAAAAGAAAAAAAAAAACCCACCCACCCCAAACCCAAACATATCTGAAGGGTATTTACAGTGGTAGTAGTTCGTAACAATCTATCTGTCCCAGCACCTCATCCTCTCATTTCAGTCTCTGGATTAGTCTCTTCCTCTCTGATCTTTCCAAGAAAGGCTGATAACTCATTTCCTATTCCATCACTCTTCTTCAATGTCAGAGGTTTGGAGGGGCGGTAAAGAGGTAGTCTTGTTTCCACAGCACAGTACCATCAGATTACTTTCCCTAATGATAAATTAAACTATAAATTTAATTTCTTCTATAAAGCAGAAATCAATGACCTAAACCAATGATTTCCACCATATTCTCCTCTCCAAGTCCAATCAGTAGTTTTTAGCATGTTTTCCCCAGTTAATGCTCACTCAAGGGCCTGATCACACAGGCTAGCTCCTCTGTATCCTTTCATTTTACCACTGCTAATAACAGTTGCTTTGCAGAAGAGCTCTAGAGCAACAGCTCCAGAGATAGTGAGCTAACTTAAAAGCTAGTGAAATTCTCCCTGTTTCAGACAAGCTACTTTGATACTTTCTCCTCTACAAGTATCACATTCTCATCACTCTCCTTCCTTGTATAGCACCTCATAGGTGAATACAAGCAATCTCAATGCAATCATCTTAACGCATAACTTAGCTTGAAGCTTGCCAATTCCATTTCAGACCCGAAAAAGGGTCACCATAAAACTTCCTCATTATCACCCCACAGTTAACTATATCCTTCATCAAAGTATAGAATCGTTGTTAGCACCATGCTCTAACCAACTCATTTGTTACATTACCAGCCTTACAGGTGACAAGGTTCAAAGAGTTTACAATTGTTTGTACCTAACAGAGAAGTTCCGTATAAAGAAATGTCAGGAAAGCAAAACAAGGGAAAAATTTGATACTAACAGGCCTCCCCTTCTTTCTCAGACATTTGAAAAGTCTTCTCAAATCAGTCAGAAAGGGAAAAGGATGCTTGAAGATGATGAGCAGTCACTCTGCCTCTCTAAATGAGAGGTGAGACATCCTAGATGACCCTGCTCACTGCAGGCGGGTTGGGCTAGATGGTCTCTAAAGGTCCCTTCCAACCCAAAGCATTCTATGATTAATATCAAATCAGTGAGTAAATTCCCTCTTATGTCTGTACAACAATACCCAACAGCAACTGTGCAGCATTTCATTTGCTCAGACGCAGTCAACATCTACAGTATTTGAATACAGGTAACCAGGCACAGAAAAGTAGTTCTCTCAACACAGTAATACAATAAAATGAATATATTATTGTTACATTTTTACTCTAGAAATGCATTTAGGAAACAGAACAGCAAGAGACCTTAAAAAATTTTTTTTCACAACGTATACCTTCAAAAAGGAGAGCAAGAGAGAGAGGTGATAGACCACCTTGCACATACACATATAAATGTTTTGTCTAACCAATCTGTCCTAAAATTTGGGTTCTAAACCACAGCCAGAGACCTAAAGTGAGAACTTCTTATCTGTAACTGAAATCCTGTGACACTAAACCATGGATACACACTTCTGAGACACATAGCCTAGCGCATTGGATTCAAATTCACACTTCAATTACTAAAATCACTTGACTTTGAGGAACCACCATTAGGCCTGCACAGAATGAGCCTCAAAAGATGTATATAGGCCACACCTTGTGTAACTACATTGTTTTGAGAACTAAGCTTAACCTAACAATACAGAAGGGCTGCTAAAGACTGAAAATACCAGAAGCAACATATGAATCCAAAATTACCACCACCTTCTGCATTTCTGTAAGCAGTTCCTCTGCCTAAAATGCAGTTGATACTGTAATTCTGGAAACTGAGATATGTCTATCAGACAGTCAAAATATCGAAAGCCAAAACCTGAGTAGAGGAAACCAAAACTCTAATTTTAGTATCAGGAAACAATGTTTAAAAGTTTATGTGTTTTGATTTTCTTGGTACAGATAACTTTAAATCTTTCTGAAATCACTTTCTTTTACACTTTTAAAAAGACAGTAAAGACAATAAGCTGCAAGTTTAAGTGAAGTTTCTCTGTATGTTTAACAAAAGGTAACTAAATGGGGACTTACATGCTGAAGAACAGCTCTTTTCCCAAAACCCCCTATGTAAATCCTTCCACAGTCATCTATTCAAAGATGGAAAAAAACCCATTTTCACACTATATTTTACAAGTCATAGAAGGGAATTACACTGTCACACCAAGTGAGTATATCTCAATCCCATTTCCAGTCCTGATAGGTAACATTGCAAATCAAGGTTCACAGCAGTATTAGCTGAGCAACCAGCAGCATTCTGCATTACTGTCTTAACAATCCTTCTGCATTTTATCTTTTTTTTCAGGAGAAAAAAAAAAAACCAACAACAGATTACTAGCTACTTAGGTCCAATGAACCCTGACATTAGCAATGCAAACCATATAGCAGATATATCGCTAATGAAATTACCTGTCCACTTCAGTTTCTCATTACTGCACAGGACAAAAAACCAGAACTTCAGCCTTAACAAGCTTCTCTGATCACTAGCTTCCAAAAATTGTTTCCAGCACAAGACTGTTCAGTGCCTCGCCCATCAGTGTTCAGCCTCTGCTCACCAGCTATCCAGATAACCACCCCACATTCAAAACTTCAGGATATACAGGCTACGAAGGGAGGAAAATGAAGCAGCTTCACATCGCTGCAGATAACCCTCCAGTTCAGCACTTGGTAAATATAGTGTAACAGCATATGAAAACTATGCTGTACTCACTTGTCCTACAAACCAATTCCTACTCTGAACAAACAGGACTATCATGAGGGTTATCAAGTTCTTGTCAGGAATAAACTCAGCAACAGAAAATTAAATCAAACAAAAATGTGCACCTTACACAGCAAAACAAGCCCAGCCCTTGGAGAGAAGTACAAACTGACACTAGAAAATGAGCAACGCTCCTGAAGAGTCACAGCCAGCAAAACCATCAGTTATGTCACAGGGCGCAGAACTCCGACATCAACGTACCCTTTAAGGACATTACTAACGTAGTGCTGCAAGACAAGCATTTTTACTAGTCAAGTTATGAATCAGCTCCAACACCACTCAACACAGCAGAGGCCAAAAGACCCAGGAGAGTGGATACAGATAGACAAATTGGGAATTGGTAAAGAAAATACTCTGACAGCATATGGGTGTCAATTTGAAAGGGCAAGGGTTTGCAGTATATGAAAAACATACTTAGCAACAATATGCCAATGACAGGTTTTTTTCCTCCTACAAATGAATTTTAAACTGAAAAAATCCACAGTGGGAGAGAAAATATGACATGAGTATAGGGCTTGAGATCTCTTCTCTAGTATACAAAAGCTGTTAAGTGCCACGGAAGCATAGGCAGAGTAAGTGAAATTCAGAGGAAATAAGAGAAAAACAGACAAAACCATTCCCTAGGACTTTGAAATGGCTTTGACCAGTGTCCCAGTATTCACACACAAGAACGAACATGGAATATTCAGAACTAATCAGCATGATATGTGGCAGCTTCACTATTTTCCTGCACAATGGACAAACTGTGTCTTTGAACCCAGACTGAGTTTCCTAAAAAAAGACCTATTTATCTGGGGTTTGTGCTAAGAAAAGGTATATTTGAATGCCTCCTGATACACACATTGTTACACAGAACACCAAAGACACCCTAGTGCCACTACTTAATACTGGTTTTTACTCTTAAAATAATAAAATAAAAACACTGAATCAAAACCAATTATTACCTTGAGAAAGTTGCATCAAATGTATGTGCAAACTGCCTGGGATGACTGGCTCTGGAAGTTCTTGAAGAAAAAATCTAAGAAGGCTAATAGCTGAGGGTACATCTGCTTCTTTAACCAGGTCCACATCTTCTCCGTTATCATATCGTTGCCGAAGCCACTCCACTGTCTCAGCATTCCCATTGACTTGAAAAAGTCCTTCTTGTTCCAGACCCCCTGAATTAGAAAGAAGTTGCAGAAATAAACTTTTAGATCTAGTATGGACAAATGTATCAGAAAATACTGATAATCAGATATACACAATTCACAAATTGAATGAAAAGACTTTCTGGACAACAGTTTTGCAAGACTTCCTGCAGTCCTTCTCCCAGCAAACACATTCTTATGCCCAGCTAACAATACAATAATAAGGTAGATGTTAACAGTACCTAAAACACCATTTCCTCTGAAGAATGCTACTGAGCTGACTGCATTCGTGTTAGCTAGAAAACAGTGAAAATCAAACATAACAGAAAAAGAAAGTGTGCCTTCCCCCCCTCCCCCCAAAGAGCCCAACCCAAATCACATCCAATTAAATATAAGTAACTTAAGAAAACAAATACTCTTCAGAAAACCACAATCTATTCTGTAAGAATAACAGCTAAACATATTAAAGTACAGCAAGATAATACATACCATGTTCCTCAATATAGTCCACGACATGGCGGACTATGAATGGAACCTCATTGTCTGGTTGCCCTTCTTGCTGCAGCTCATCAAGTGGAATTCCAAATATTTTGTTAGCAAGAACAGAGTTGCAGTTACTCAAGGAAGGGGAGGAGCTCTTCCTCATATCTTTTTGCAGCCAAAAATCAAAGCTGTCTTTTCTGTCAAATAAGAGGAATTAAAACCAAAAATTCTACTTCAATGTACGCTGTCGAATGTATTGGACTGTAACACAATGTATTTTAATTACCTAATGCAAATACTCTCCAGTCTCTCTCAATCAGTTCACTGATTTGATGAGAAGTTCTGTAATGACTCCAAATACAGCTAATTAGGTAAGTTACTATTACTGAGGTGTTCTGTTCAATCCTCAACAGAGGTCCAAGAAGAACATACATAGCAGCAAAGCAAATTCAGAAAATACTAGTTACAACATTGTTACTTAACTTCTAAGGTAGTTTGGGAGAGCTAGATTCTTCAGTACATTTTCTGACTATTTATCAGTCAGGCTTTGAAAATCCAACACAAATGCCTCTCGAGAGGAAATGAAACTAGTGGATTGTACCAAACCAAAACCCCAAGTTTCAGTTACGTGAAATGATTAAGTATTTTGTGATACACAACCGCACTGCAATCAACTTCTAATATATTTGGCATTTTCTGGTCTACACAGTAAAGCTTTCAACACCTGCATCAAATTAAAACTTTTACTGAACATAAAACCCCTCAAACTAGTTTCTAGAGGCTCAGTGATGCCATTCTTCCTACCACGCAGAAACTCAAGCTTTACTTGCAAGTCTTTGCTTGATAAAGGATCTAGATAGATAACAAAGGTATTACCAAAGGCAGCGTTAAGTCACTCGGTTAAACTGTTATCCTGTCAAAACCAAAGTATTTCTTCTAGCGAAGAAAAACCTCTCTTTTCAAAATAAGTAATAATAAAAAAAGAAAACATACTTGCTTAAATGCAAGCAACCACTTTCACAGAGGATGGTACATATAACATGAAGTACATATGGTTGCAGTGCTTTGACTAACAAAACTTAATTCTCTGTTTACTAATGGATTGATAAATTCTAATAGATTAGACATACTGAAATCCATACTTCCTTTTTTAAAATAGCCCAAGTAGTTTAAGAAGCCTACCTCAGAGTACTTAAACAGCCGAGTTTGAAAAACGTTTTCTGCGCCAGCTGCCCTCACTGACCAAGCATTCTTTTGTCATTTATGGTTGTTTAAGATTATGGCAAAAGATCAGCCTGTAGTTCCTCATTGAAGAATAGCAGAACTCGATCAGTACTTCAGCAGTTAATCTGAAAATAAGAAAAATATTATTAGACCATAAAGTTTTCAACAGTTTTAAACTCAGTCACATGTCTAAACATCACATTTGAGAAATCCTCCTAGTCAAATCATCAGTTTCTTGTTCTGAATGAGAAAGCATGAAGACCACATTACTGTGGCTCACCAGAGAGCACGTAAAAAAGCAAATCCCCTTTTTCGCTTAGGAGTTAACCAAACTTAAGGCGAAAGTTAGCATGGGACATGTCAGCCTTAACAATTATGAAGTCATTTTCAGACTCATTCATTCTTCTTCCAGAAAATCACGAAGGGCTAAGTAGGTTAGACATAAGTGTTTTATACTACCTACTGTACTAAAACATTTAATGGCTATAAAATTTTTAGAAGGATCTCGGGCACTGGTTTAACACACCATATTTAAACAGCATGACCAAAACCAAAATCCTAACTAGGGAACAAAGAGAGTCAACCAGTTTTCAGTGGTACAGATCATCTTTTCTAGAAAGTTATTATGTGTCCTAACTGCCAGTTCAAAGTCCAAGTGACCATCAGATCTAGATACAGGAAGCAACTTCCCCCAAATCAGATTCCTTAGAACCACCCACATTTTTGCCACCTTTTAGAATGCCGATTATAGAGTCATAGAATTGTTTAGGTTGGAAAAGACCTTTAAGATCATCCAGTCCAACCATTAACCTAGCACTACCAAGTCACCACTAAATCAGTTAAGGGGAGAGTAGCAACCCCACGCCTCCTGGCTTGGTGGCTGGATCCTTTATAATGAAAGTAAAAACTAGCAATCATTAAGATTGGAAAGGACCTCTAAGATCATCATTCCAATCATCAACCCAACACCACCACGCCCACTAAACCATGCCCCAAAGTGCCACGTCTACCCCTTTTTTGAACACTTCCAGGGATGGTGACTCCACCACCTCTCTGGGCAGCCTGTTCCAATGCTTGACTACTCTTTCCGTGAAGAAATTTTTCCTAATATCCAATCTAAACCTCCCCTGACACAGCTTAAGGCCATTTCCTCTTGTCCTATCACTAACTAACACCCCCAGGTCCTTTTCGGCCAGGCAGCTTTCCAGACGATCTTCC